CTACAGCTTACATCTATAACAAACATACGATGCAAAAAAATCATTTCATTTTTCTATCGAAGAACGGCAATCTTTGTTTCGCTCTTTTCATTCCTGATTTGTTTTGATTTTAACCGTTCTTACTTTATTGTCAATCCATGATAGACTATACCCACATAAGATCCATTTGCAATTGGCAATATCTCCTTGACGAGTACCATTGTACAACAAAATATTGTCCTCTATCACCCTTGTTTCTCTCTGCAGAGTTCAAATGTCATTTGACCATTTTTCCAATAACTGAACTACTTCGTTGGTTCTCTGCCCGGCTTAACCGATTTTCATTTATTCTACATCATTGGCTCCGGAATCGCTTGTTGATCTCCTATAAGAAATGACCTGGGGTCAAAACATCATAACAATCAAAAAATTGGAAATAGGTGTAAGAGGTCTCGAAGTAGTATTCCCTCTACTTGCCATTATGTTTCAACTCTCATATGTAAACGCAAATTTCTTATCGTCTTTTAAGTGGTACTTTAACGGCTTTTACAACGGCTCCCTATAGCCCTAGCTGAGGGACTTGGAGGTATAAAATTCCAGTCTATTCTTTCGGACGTGAAATGTGAGGCCAAAGTTTATCAGAATTATACTTGGTAATTTCTTCACGAGAATTTGCTCCTAAAATTAGGGCATTATCAGGAATATTCGCACATTTGCCCGTCTGGCACGAAACACTTAATAGTGGCATTAAGCCTAGAATTAAATCTGACAAAACAAGAGAGCAACAATGTAAATTTTATTAGCACGCCTTTCTCTGATGCTTGAAGTCACTAAAAGGGACCGCATATCCTACCTGAACACTAATGGGGGTGATCTATTAACTCTCTTGTATGTAAATGCCCATAATCTGTGAAAACAAAATCAGTTGCATTAACATTAACAACAAAATGTACTGTTTTCGCCCAATCTCTACCACCTAATGGCCAAATTTTAAACGTACTGCTTCAATATCCTTGGGGCCAACATGTATAATCTTCTGGCACCTAAATAAATCTTACTCAGCTTAGAATTTTGTAGGATTGCAGGATATTTCTAGAAATGGGTAAAGAAGCTTTTTCAAGACGCCACCACACGAATTATCCTTACGATCACAAGGGGTAATTTTTTAGTTACCTTTATGGTCCTTTACAAAATAGAACCCTCTGCTCATGTTAATGAGCATTTCCTCAGCTTCTCTCACCTAGTTGAGAGCCTACCTTCTTGATCCACCTTCCGCCTACAATAACCTAAAAATATAAGAAAGAAACAAATCTATAATAATTGTACAATTGTAAAAATTCTGCACAGTCCACACTTAGATTAATGTTCACTAGAGAAAGCACTACTCACGCGTAGAAGATTGGCTGGATTGTCCTTGGTGAACAATAAAACAGATCTGATTAGCAACTCGAATCTCTTCAACGTGATTTAAATAAAACTTCCTCGTCTGCTTGATCTTGACTCAATACGTGTACTTTAGAATCACCCAAAAAAAAGAATCGATGACCTTTACGATCTAAACCTTTTAACTTCGTTCCAATCTTGCAGCAATCATGCACCCTGATTTTTGAAATTTAGGCTTAAATAATTTGTTCCACATTACACAGTTTCAATTAGCAGTTTCTCATTCACACATGAACCATTGAGAACCTTGATTGATACTGAAAGTTTGATTTAGACATAACTGAATTCTAGAACGTTAATTCCTCGTGGATCCTTTAGAAAATCTAATAATTCTGTAATTTCGTATTTTTTTTCTTTCTTTGAATCCTTTCCCACCATACTTAGTATCTGATCAAGTTTCTGGCTAAGAATAAAGGCCAATTAGCGGATAAACCCCACTAACTTTTGTTCTAACATTCTAACGACTTACAACTTCACTTGTAACATCATTATTTAGAATCGCAGAAGCTGACTCGTTTTGAATAACGGGAATACTTATAATTCTTTTAAGATGAGCATACACTTTTTCTCTAGGGCTTGAGTATCTTTCTTCAAGAAGAGACCACGCTAAATTATAATTATTATCCGTTATAGCTATCGTTTGAATTATTCTAAAGGCATCTTCTTTCAGTGCTGATTTCAAATATTGCAATTTTACAGCATCTGATAAGTTTGGGTTTTAATCAATACTCGCTTTAAAAATATCCGTAAAAGAAATCCAAGAATGCATTTCTAATGAAAATATCGGTAATGAAATTTTAGGTAAACGCACAACAGTATTTTCAGAAATTATTGTATTTTCTAGTTTATTCTGTTTAACAACGTTCGACAATCTATTATTTACTTCAAATTTTATATCAATAATACTACTATTGATTTCATCTTGTAGTTGAAGATTTTTCTATTTTCTTCACTACTTAAATTGATAATAGAATCAAAAACATATCGAATCATTTTGCAGATTGTGTTAAATTAGTTTTAACATTCTAAATCACTAACACTTAATCTGGCTCACAAAGTTTTTTTTGGCAACTTCGATAGAGTTTTTTTGAGTTCTCGTTATAATGAGAACAACTTTCAGTTTCGTAGCCATTTTCGCTACACTTATCAATAACAAATTATCACACAAACTTAATTCAGAATTTACTAAATGCAACAGTTAATAATGAATAGAGTGTCAAGGGTTTTTTACTTACCCCTTTCTTTCAGCAACTGGCTATAATCCACAAACACAAATTCCATTGAAACAAAATGGCAAACTCACTGTTTTACACTAGATTATGTACTTAGCCGATATCGCTGCGGCTCTACTGGACCACTCAAATGGTCCGGCGAATTCTAAATGGACTGTAACTCTCAATTAAACTAATTAACAAACTACTCTGTAACATCTCTTTATCTTTATTATATTAATTTTTGAGAGACGCTCAGGCTCCCACAATCATTTTCTGCTTCGCCATTGAAGCCAACTCTGAAGTAATTAACATTCTTTTTGTAAACAGTAATGATGGCAGCGCCATCTGGCTTCAGAGGGTCTTAACAGCTGGGTTCTAACAATAATCGGTAACATTTCTGTTGATGAATGTTTTTAATAGGATTTTGGGGAATCAATAGTTATACTTGGTAGTACAGAAAGTCAGTGTCTCTAAATCTCCTGTTGTTCAAGGTCAGCTGTATATTACTTCTGTAATTATAAACATAATACAAATTTTAGCCATCATTAAATATCTAATATAATTGTTTAGTGATCAGTTTTTGTATTTCTTATTTCACAGTTTAAATCTTGTGTATAAAGGTAAACATTGGTACAATGACATATGAAGAATGTAGAATTCTTTATTAATTGAAAGTAAAAAAAGTATTTCTCCTTTCTTTCCCCTTAACCCTTTGTGGTGCACTACACTTTAAAGTCGGTATTTCAACAAAAAAATTTGTATGCAGTCTATCTAGGCATAAAGGAGTATACAGATAAAATTTTGTAAAAATTTCACTTACAGTTTCAATTCTGTGGGTGTTCCATTATGTAGAACACTGTGCTACTAGATCTCTTAAAAGTGCGACTAAGCGAGCATTGCACTGAAGCACGGAAATTAGTAGAAGCTTATATATAGTAATGAAAAAACACAGTATTATAGCTGTATACATGGTTTTCTGGATATACTCAGCTTGAATATATATGGATAAATGAGATAAATATATGTATATACACAAGTCCTATATACAAAAATATTTACACATTTTTCGATTTTATAACTTCGTGAAATTTTCGTGAAAAGTATGTCACATCTTTTTGATAGAAGCACAAACCAACTTTGCAGGTTCAAAAACTTGTTTTGTGCGGCTTCTGTTTCGTGCAACAATATATTTAGAATTCCAAGTAAAAAGAAAGAAAACAGAGAAAAGAGGAAAAGAAACTCTTCCTCTTTGGAAAGAGTTTTTCTGCCATTTATGGAAAATTAATAATAAAAAATTAACTGCAATTAATATTAAAAATAAATAAAAATAAGCTATAAGATATACATACACAAAAAAATATCTACTTAATTATTGTAAATAAATGGGAATGAGATTAAAAAGCGATAGCAAAATAATTCGCGCAGCTTCCCTAAGTAAAGATGACTCAAGCTACTGATAAAATTCCCGCCTGAAAAACTACTCACACAAATTTCAAACTACCCATATTAGGGCTTTCATAGCACAAACCACCCCTCACCCCTCAAGACTGCTTTGTTTGAATTCATTCCCCCAAAACAGCGTAAATAGAAAACATATACAAGATGTTTTCTCCTAAGACAGATGTTCTGATGCGTAATAGCATGAGATCGCTAAAGGTGCAGTGTTCCTGCTAATGGAACACCCTGTTTTATTTAATGATTCTATGCATGTTTTTTGTATGAAAAATATATAACAAATAATACAGAGTACAGCCATCAAAATTATACGGAATATTTTCTTTTGCGTCACAAAAAAATTATAGAAAATTACTAGAAAATAAGTAGATTTTAATAACATATCATAAAAGAAATTTCTGCGTCTCTTTGTGATATGCTGCCATCTACTATTTAAAAGGAGAAGTTTGAAACATATTATAAAGGCTTTTTTATCCATTTATGGTTGAATTTAACGGTTTCATAAGCGATTCAATTTGGGTGTTCCATGTTGCTGAGCAACAAAGGGTTAAACAAATTTCCTGCGACTTTTCGTATCATTCACATAGTTTTGATGAGTAATATGTTCTAGATGAAGTAGTTTTTTTTTTTTTTTTTTTTTTTTTCCTTTCTTAACACTTTATCGACTGCCAGCGGTTCAACAGAATATGCATGTCCGACCAGCCGCAGATTCTCCCTAATAATAAAATGCAGATGATAAAGCAAATGTCAATTGTTTATCGCCATGGCTACCACTTGATAGGCTATTTTTAGGTAGCCCAGAGAAAAAAGCGATTTATAGACTATCAGTTGGTAGGCGTTGCCAATAAAAAGCCATGTTAATATTTGCAGTTGAGTGGAGAGCCCTCAAGGGCTATGCTCCTGAAACCGCATACCCCTTGAGGGCTTTACCATGAGTTACCTATCTACTTGTGTACAATACAGGTGGAATTGGTCTGTGAAAATTGATATTCTAAATTATTGTAGATTGTATATTTCTGTGTTTTCTACAATAAAACAGTGTATTAATTGTGCCTTTTATTATTATAAATATAGTCTAACTGCATATTTTATTTATATTGCAGCTTCATGCCCATGAGTTCAATACAAATGTAGCCTTGTATGAACTCTATAGGTATGCTGTTAAGTATAATGACCAGGTAAGTTATGTCTTATATTCAATGTAATTATTTTATTTTATGAAGGGAAAGAGCTAATGTTAGTTAAGTTATATTTAAAAACTTATTTTCATTTGTATTATTTTCTTGTAATAGATATCCTCACTTTATTACTAAATGTTTGTTATAATTTAGCTGTCATATTTTAATTTATTAACTTTTTTATTTTTTGATGTTTCACTTTCTGAATTTTTTAAGCTAGATTTTTTTAAATATATTTAGACATCTAAATTGTTAATTTTTCTCCATTCAGTAACTCATCCATAAATAAAATTATTTCATTAAATGCAGATATATTTAATTTTCATTTTTAATATTTCAGTTGATACAAACTTTAGAAGAAGATGAATTTTCACGGAAGAACAAATTGGCATGGAAGCTTGAACAAGTGCATGCAATAATGAGTGGAGAGTCAGAAGCATGACAGTATTATTGGCAATCTGTGGATGTGTGACATTATTAAAATCCCAGTGTGCTTTGTCAAACCTTCACCGATTGCCGCGGCTCGGTTTAAAGGACTTGCTGCCACATTTTGGGATCCTCCGTTCTATGCAATTAGGATGCCCCCTGAGGAGCAACTGGGTGTAAACTGAAATCAGTTCCACCCTTTGCCCCCAGTTCCTAGACAGCAACGAAAATTCACTACGAACGAATGAATCTTTTAGAAACTTAAAAAAAAAAAAAAAAAAAAAAAAACTGTGTGCAGGTCAGCAAAAACTGAAATTGTCATCAAAAGCCTGTTTTTGGATGCAATGTGGAAATAAGTAGAATCAAATTATTGTTGTAAACTGCAGGCACCTAGTGAGCTAATCCTGAGTTCACTATGATATATGTGGTGCCAAACCATGGCAAGAATTTTTATTTGTTTTTAATAATTTGTCCTTTATGGATGCACCTAGTCTTTTAATATTGTTCATCCCCCTCTCTGCATCCCCTGCTAAAATAATTTTCATTGTATCATGATCAAATGTTCACCTACTGCATGTGCAACTTCCAGTGCCTTTGTAATGCATGCTTCTGAGTTCTTTTGAAAATTTAGAAGCCATTCCAGTTTACCCTTAGTAGCCTTGACCTTGAGTCTTCCACTTTGTGTTCCTTGTATAAGAACAAAGACTTGTTTATTTATCTCATTCTTTAAGGGGCCTTTTTGAATTGGTATGAGGTTTGAAAAGGAATGTTGATCTCCAAAACTCAAAACCAATGAAAATGAAGCAAGGCAATATGTAGAAACTTTATCTATCCAATGTATTATATATACATATATATGTATGTATATGTATATATATATATATGTATATATATATACATATATATATATATATATGATGTATGTATTTATATACACATCAACACATCTGTGCACTGCTACAAGTGGTTACTGTTGCATTTTAAGGCACGGAATAGAAACAATTTGCAGTGCTCATACAAAGTAGCCGATAGAGTGTAGTTCATTTACCAAAATCTAGTTCCCAGTTTTAAAGACTTGCACTGTGATAGACTTTTATTTTTCTCTCATCCCACTAATACCCATTCCATTTGTTTCATACACTTCCATGTAATTTTGTTCCACAGATTTTGTGCAAATAAATAAATATAACATGAAGGGAAGAAAGAAATGTTCCTTCAATTTCACCATTTGCAAGTTATACAAGGTACAAGGTGAACTGTCGTCCAAACAGACAACTTATTTCATCCAAAATGAAGAAGGTTGTTATCTAATGTGACCTTTTGAAGTATATGCCCCCAGTTGTTTGAATTTGATGTATATGCACAGAATAAGCTCAGAGAAAAGATCCATGGCAAATTTATCACCAAGCTGCTTTATGCATTCAAACTTCCGGGAAGAACACCCAATGACATGCTAAAGCAGCTGCACCAGAAGTCACCAGTTATTTGTGTGCTACGAGGATGAATGTTAAGCAAAAGACACTTTTTTTGGTACAACCTTAAACTTTGTAATATATTTATAGCATATTTTTATTATGATGTTGATTTAGAGCCTCTACCTTGCTCAAATAATTTCCTGCATTAAATTGGCACCCAAAGTAATAAGAGGTGTTGCAATTTAATATGTTACTCCTCCCACATGTAAAAATGTTTCAGTTTAGATAATTGGTCCCAGTTTTCAGCACAAATTGTTTCATAATGCAGGTACCAAAATGACCAAATCACAAATGTTTCTCAAAAATTTCTACATGTATTCAAATTTTTAATAAAATGTAATAAAAATGATATTGTGATATTTGATATGATTGTGTATAAAATTGTGTGTTCATTTTATTTTTTACAGACACTACAAGTTAAATTTCACATATTCATTAAGTTCAAATTTTGTTCAACAATAAATATAGTATAAATTTTTAATGCACAACTTTAATATAGTTTTCATTAGAAAACCATATTTTTTTAATTGCTATAATCACATACAATTTAGTTTCCTTTTAATTTCTTTAATATTGATTTCAGTTTATGGTTAGCTCCATAGAAGTTTTTCATCTAATTGCAATTTAATATACATATTTTACTATGTGTCACATGTTTTAAGTCTGTGGGCAGACTTTATTATCTAACAAGGAAAATCATCCAACCTTGGAAATCCTAAATTTTTTTTAAAGGAAAGAAATACTGTGAATCTTCTCATCTAGAAATACATAACAGGTACAGGTTGAGCAAGGCTGGCACTTGTGCATTCCTTAACCCCTTGGGTACATTTGACATCTGAGACACATCATTCACTTTTTCCCCCTAGAAGCGGATGACGTGTCTAAGACATCAAACCAAAAATTAAACTTTTGGGTACATTTGACGTCTGAGAGACGTCATTCACCTGTTTTCCCCAAGGAACGGATGACGTGTCTAAAACGTTATTTGAGGTTAGGCACAATTCTGTTCATTTCATTGTAGCTTGTATCAGTCATAATAGAAGAGGCAATTACAGTATTTCGGTGAACATTATTTGCGATACTCTGCCCCATTATGTCAAAAACAAGGAATGTATTTTATGATAGTGATAGCGAAAGTGACTTTGAGAAATCTAAAGAATTGTTTAGTGATCCTGAAATTGACAATTACAATGAAATACAAAGCGAAGGTGATGAAGACGATATTGAAGTAGAAAGTGATGACAATTGTAATATAATATCAAGGTTTCGAAGACGCACAAGACATCTATCAAGCAGTGATAGTATATCTTCTCGTGAACCAGAAAATGATGACAATTGTAATATAAAACCAAGGTTTCGAAGACGCACAAAACGTCGGCACGCGATGGTTTTTTGATCTTTCAAGCTTTCTACATTTTGCGGATAATGAAAAGGAAAATAAAGACGACAGAATAAGAAAGATTAAAAATATAGCGGATTACCTAAATAACAAATTTTGTTACCTTTATACTCCTGATAGTCAAGTAGCTATTGATGAATCGCAACCAAAAATTATATCCATTCCACATGCAAATATTTTCTCAAATAAATCCGTACTCAAGGTGTTAAGGTACATTAGCCCTTTCTAACTAAGCTAAAAATAAAGTTAACCCTCTAACTGCTCAATTTGTGGACCAAAATTGCTTCAAAAATTGTGTAATTTTTTTTACATATTTTAAATCTATATATATTGGAGAATTGAAAAATGCATTTTTCCTTTCTAGAAAAAAATTTTTTTATAGATTTTTATCATGAGAAACTAAGTTGCCATAAAAACCAATTTCAGATGTTATCACAAAGATGAATTGCAACTAAAAATTATGTCCATTCCACATGCAAATATTTTCTCAAATAAATCCATACTCAAGGGGTTAAGGTACATTAGCCCTTTCTAACTAAGCTAAAAATAAAGTTAACCCTCTGACTGCTCAATTTGTGGACCGAAATCGCTTCAAAAATTGTGTAATTTTTTTTACATATTTTAAATCTATATATATTTGAGAATTGAAAAATGCATTTTTCCTTTCTAGAAAATATTTTTTTTAATAGATTTTTATCATGAAAAACTAAGTTGCCATAAAAACCAATTTCAGATGTTATCACACAAAAAAAATTTTTAAATAAATTTCAGTCGAATTACAGTTAATTTCTATTTATTGCATAATATAGAAAACTAAAATTTAGGAAAATATAAAGCACTGAGGTAAAAATATCTTGGAAATGCACTTTAGTATGATAGAGTTCAAAACAGGGATCAAGGCAAAGTCCAACTTCACAGTCTTTGTATCAGATTCAATTAATGATCAATCTAATCATTAATCTAATCAATAAATCTAACTAATAATTTAATTAAATAATTAAGATAATCACTGAATGTTTTCTAGCAGCCATTTCTGTAAAAAAAAAAAGTGGAGTTTGAGCGGTAATACCACGTGCCTTCAAAACGCCACAATTATGTGGACAATTAACGATATCTATTGGCCAAAGCGTAAACTAAACGTCTAATACTGTATATAATTTATTTCAGTGGTTAAACAGCGAAAAACAGGATGAGCTCCTCAATAAAGAAAGAAAACACATGCCCGCGGAATGAGCAGCCAGAGGGTTAAGCATAATATTAAAGTTATTTGCAGCTTGCAAAAATAAAAATAGTCACAAAAAAAGTTAAAATGAAGGGCAGCAATTTGCATTGAAGTATATATATATATATATATAGGTAATTTAGATAAATTGTAAAGAATTTTATTATAATGTAAAGAACAGACAGCAATGTGTTGCAAGGCAAACATTGCATGAATATTCTCTTGACCTAATGAGGTTCTAAAAAAAAAGATTTCTTAACTCTCTCTCACCCTTAATACAGAAGTTAGTGTTCAAGCGCCATGCATCTGATAGATTTGTAAAAGACATTAATTTATCCAAACTGAAAATAGCATAAACATGCATTTTATATTTTTTAAAATTTTGCTAATAACTCAATAATGTACAGAAATTTAAAAATTGTCAATAAATAGTCACAATGAATCTCAGATTAAATGCAAAGTAAACTACCTAATTAATAAATGTTAATAATAAAATTATAATTTTTTTCTGGAATGTCTAAAAATATAGTGTTACTAAAACATTAGTTCTTCTTGCCCTCCTCCTTTATATGTTTTATATACTTCTATGTCTATCTTCTTCTATATACTCCTCCTTTATATGTTTTATATACTATGCTTGATGCATCAATGCAGTTTTTTGGAATATTTGATATAAAATTGCTTTAACTTAATTTTTAAATTATCTTCTTTAAAAAATGTTCTGTTCAACATGTTTTTTGTTTTCAGTAATGAATTATTGACTTGAGTAAAGCCTGCTTACACTACATAAGAAGAGGAAAAGTCAATAATTTTGATTCAGTAACAACTTTTGTTTGAGGATATTTCTCTCAAATGACTTAATAATCCCATACTTAATCTCAACTATCATAAATCCCAAAGCTTGCGTATGTATATGTTTTGAATATGACTTTTGCCTGAACATCCAACTTCAATAGAATCAATTTTTTTGGCATTGTAACATCATGGGGTTTCTCAAACAGAGGGAAATTTCAAATGGGAATTTGGTCAGACTTTTATTTATATATTTAGTTTTATTTTATGAAAACTACTTTTATTCATATATGGGTATTTACCATTTCATAGTATACTTTTTCTTGCTTACTTTATAAAATGCATTAAAAATAATCTAAAATAAAATAAGTCTGCATTATTATTATTATTTTTTTTTAAAGTTTTGGAATTTATATTTTTATAAATTAAAGTTCACAATTTTTTTTAAAACAACAGAATATCATCACAATACATAATTGAGATACTACATATAACATACAGCAAGGAAGAGAGAAAAGAACAAAATAATTTTTATCTATATACAGAAGTAAATTCTTTAATCAGGCCGGGGAGTACGACTTAATGCATTTACATTTTTATGGTTTTTACTGCTTTGATAAACGACAGTTTAATTGTAGGGTTGCAATACTAATGCCTATTTCATAAGTCGTGGATTTAGATTCACATTATTTTTTAGCCAAACTAAACAATTACGATCGGTCATGATGAGGAATTTCGTATGCCCGTCTAAATGACATTGCAGTTTCTTTAAAGCAAATATTATGGCGGCACATTCCTTTTCTGCGGTAGAGTACTTTTTTTCAGTTTCTGTAAACTTCCTACTACTGGATAATACTGGATGTTCATATTGTCTCGTTCATCTTTCTGAGCTAAAATAACACCCATAGTATATTTTGAAGCATCAGTTTGCAAAATAATCTCCTTATTGAAATCAGGTGTATGTAGTATAGGCACGGTTTTTCCTTTAGCTCTTCAAATGCTCTTATGCACTCTTCTGTCCCATTTACTTCCCCTTTTTTTAAGGTTTCCTTTCAAAGTTTCAGTTAAAGGTGCTGCTATAGATGTGAACATTGGAATGTAATGATATAATATCCTGCTAATCTTAAAAATGCTCTGATTTGACTTTTTGTGAATGGCACGGGAAAATCAAGAATAGCTTTTACTTTGACTTCACTTAGCATTCTTATACCAAGACCTTCAATATCTCCTAGATATTTTACTCTATCTTGAGAAAATTTAAGTTTAATGGTCTAACCAGTGACCTTTATTTTTGGCAAAACAGCTTTCAGATGACTTAGATATTCTTCCCATATGTTTGAAAAGATTGCCACGTCATCTAAATATGGAACAACAAAGTGTTCAACCATTAAGGATTTCAGCCATCATTTTGCTAAACGAAAATAGTGCATTTTTAAGTCCGAAAGGCATCCATAGAGATCTAAATGTGCCAAAACTTGTAACAAAAGGGCCTAATCGCCGGACATTAGGTGTTAACGGTATTTGCCAGTATCCCTTTGTTAAATCCAAAAGAGTTATATATTTTGCACCTGCTACAGTTTCCACTCAATGTCGATATTAGGCAAGGGGAAGAATTGTGTTTTAGTCAACTTGTTCAATTTTCTATAATCGACCTCTTCCTGCTACTTCCAATAAAATCATAGGAGTGTAATCTGAGTCTCCTATATCAATTATTTTATGTTGAATCAACTGAATATCATGCATTAATAAATGAGTTTTCCAGGCTTATTACAGAAGATTTTTGAAAATTTCAATAGCAGATCATGCAGTTTTTGAATTTGTTGTTCATTTTAGCTTATCATTTAAGGAACTGTTTTCTTTAATTTCCTCAAAATCGAACAATGCTGGTTCAGAGGCAATTGTTGGAAAATTTTCTTCTAGATCATCAGTTTCAGATTGATCTTCTATAATG